AATTTAAATTTAAAAAAAAAAAAAATAATAATATAGAGATACGTAGCATTTGTACAGCGTTAATCTCCGCTCAACAGCAAGCTCTATGCGCTTCACAATCTATACTATTACCCCAATAGACCTGATGGCATTCTGGAACAACCTCAACTTCCTGGGAAGTGGAGGGGAAGCATACAGTGCAAGCAGCCATTTATAAACGTTAAAACACTAACATACTGACAAGAACTTTCTCTGTCTATGGCTGGGTATCCATTCCCACCTGGGTGAAGTGAGGAAAATTTGTGTAAAGGGTAAATAGTAGTAAAGTGCCTTTCCCAAGGACACAACGTCGGGCCCGCGGCTCGAACCCCCAAACTCGCAGGGTAAGTTCCTCACGATTATGATTCCGCTGGTAGCCTAACCACTACAACGTTAGGACCTTTTAGCAAGGAAATCAGTGCTGATATCATAGTATAGGTCTTGTTCTGTTACTCGGAGATAAGTATCTCTGTAAATCAAATCCGCCAAATCCATCGTTTCTCCCTTCAACAGTTAACAAATATAATATAGGGAGAGTTATTAGAAACAAAATCATGCTCAGATAAGCTTAGATTCTAGTAATTATTATTCTGCTAACCTTTTCGCCATACCTACCTTACAATGCTCCCAACTGACTGCACTACTGCTGGTACGCTGCTTGTACTGTCCAAACGCTGTGTTATGTTACAGTGCCGGCCGGGGAGGCGTGTGGAACCCTTGGCATTTCACTCTCCCAACACAACTGAACTGGGCGGGAAATTTTATACTAAAGCATTAAATCCCCCCCCCCCCCAACCCCCAATCCCATCTGCGCTTCTCTGCTTCCAAAAATGCCTGACAAGTAAGTCGGTGCCTCCTGTCGGAATGCCTGCCTCTCTACACCCTCCCCCCTCCTTTCTTCTCGTTCTCTCTCTCGGTTTTCCATCGCTTTCTCGCTTGCGCAAACTTTTCTACACGCACAAAATACACCAGCAGATTGATTTGGTTCAGGAAAAAAATGAATATTTAGATGAAAAGATTCAGGGGTTAATTTGGGGATCACGGAAAGGCAAACATTTGCGTTGAGTCAAATCTGACTATTATTGTGCGACTTTTGAGCGGTCAGTGTTGGCTGTAAAGTGCTTGTACGGTTCAAGCTTAAAATTAAAAAAGTAACGTAGAGCATCAGACAATATTAGATGTATGTCCCTACAATGACTCTGAAGATGGACGCAAAAGTAGCTGCCGAGATATTAAAGCAAGCCATTTGCTATAAAGGTAATATAAAAAAGGAGAAGAGTACTGATGGATGCAGGAATGTTATAATTCTTACTCTTTAGTTCTATGAATTACGAACAATAATATTTGCACTTTTACCTATATATTATAAAGACATAGTGTGGTGTAAATGAAGTCTCAATCTCACACATTAAATATATTTTCTATTAGAAATGCGACCGGTGTGTGAACTTATCTCGTTATTGCAGCACATAGCTAGATTTTCCTAGGCGACTTTTGAGATGAGTACAACAGACCAGCACGTTACAAGGAACTTTTGTGGCATCGGTAGCCTACTTAACTCTTTGTGTCTTTTGGAAAGGCACTTTTCACAAATTTCCTATTTTGCTCGAAGATAGACGTTAAACTCAGATGTCCTTTCTCTCAAATAGTATAATATGTTGATATGGACATTAAACCCATACCATAATAATATTCACATTTACATAAAACTTTTGAGTAAAGCTAATTGGTTGCTAGTAACCTAGAGCCCGGCGTTCAGAACGGCGCTGTAAACATCGCCAAAAATGTCTGACTTGCGAAATCTTCGCACAGCTGGGAGATTCAAGGCCGTGGGAGCACGAAATCAAGCACGCACGAAAACAAACTGCATTTGGATGTAAAACGCAAAAACGAAAATATTCGCACATGGAAATTCCTCAAACGTATTGCTCCACTAGATGGGGTGGGGATCTTGGGTTTATCCATAGATGTACACCATAGGTTTAAAAGGGGGTAACTCTATGGGTTTATCATTTCATCGTTTCCTGACACTGAGAGAACGGGGAATGTGAACCCGCAAACTTGATCTTTTCGTAGCATCAACAGCTTATAATATTGTGTCCAGAACATACTTTCAGATCTATTTGATTCAGTTCTACTAATTGCCAATGGTAGTGGTTTTCGTATGCGGTAGTATGCACTGGTATTTTTGCCTTCAACTTAATACAAAAATACAGAGAGAGAGAGAGAGAGAGAGAGAGAGAGAGAGAGAGAGAGAGAGAGAGAGAGAGAGAGAGAGAGAGAG